ATCGCTGAGTTCACTTCATTATCAATGCTACTACAACTAAGCGCTTCTTGTAGAGGTGCCAAAGGAATTTAAGTTACTTTGTATTCCCCCAAAATGAAAAGATTAATGAAACAATCAAATGGTGGTAGCATGGTTTAGTAGAAAGAATATCAAGAAACAAAGAAATTTGGGCTCTCTTCCCAGGATTGCCATATCTAGCCTTGCAAACAAGACATTTCACCTTATTAAAGGGCCATTTCATCATCTGTAAAGTGAGAGTTTTGTACCAAATAGTCTTCAGGGATCTATCAGCCTTAGAATTTCATGTATCGGTGGTCTTTTTAAAGAAAAAGAAAGTAGTGTTGTGGTCATTAAGAGTCCCTGAGGGGGCTCAAAGATCTCTTGGATTTTGCCCCTGAGATTCTGAGAGGCCTTGCAGTGAAACCCAGGCAGCATGGACACGTGGGCAGATCCAACGGCTGAAAGAATGAGGCTGGAGATCACCATTCATTGGAGAATCAGAGAGCTTCCATCTGCTGCATGGACTTCAGTGGGTGTGGTACCACAGCTGCCTTGGAAGAAGGCTTGTTTTGGCCTGATGCAGCCTAATCAATATGGAGAAATGGGTGTGGGTCTGATTTGTCATTCACAAAACGAGAAAGTTTTGATGGGAAATGATGTAGGAGAAGGAAAATAGTGTTAGGCATGTAAAAATATGATTAGCATCTTGTCCTATTGTAAGACACCTCTTAAGATACAAATACAAAGGCTTCTCTCCCAGCCTTTACCTTTGGGGGTATAATCATTTTTGGCTAAGATCTCAATCTTTCAGTTAGCAGAGCAGAAGGTCTTAAGTCCAAAACTAACCTTTCTAAAACATCAGTGAGGCCATGTGTTCCATTGCATGCTGTAGAGGAAAAGTGTTCTTAATCTAATTCACAGAATAGGGGTATTATCAGCCAATCAGTCAAAGTTTAAATGTATGGCACTCTTCCTGACACTAGGCTCTGTGAGAAGCCATCTGGGACCACCTACCTCTCTATTTTCAGCCTCGCCTTTCACTTGCACAGTTTTCTCCGGCCCCTCTGCATCATCCAGCGCTAAGCTCTTTCTTCACAAGGGTTAGATGGAGTAGCACCAGCCCCTGAAAGCTCATACAATCTTCCCCTGCTCTCATCCACCCCAAATCTGAATTAGGTACTTCTCTTCTGTCTGTATCTCTATGCTAGCTCATCAGCAGCAGCAGCAGCAGCTGCGACCGCTAATGGGAGTCTTCTTGAGTACTGGAGCCCTGTTTTATTTCTCTCTGTATCCCCATAGCAATGCCTGGCACAAATAGATGTGGAATAAATGTTGAGTGATTGAATGAATGACTATTCCATAGGCAACAGATAGAGCTACCATTCCCATACCTAACTCCCCAGAGCAATTTAAACAGAAAACATCACCAGACAATATAATATAAAGAAGAAATTATCTTTACCCTTGAGAAGTCAAGTCATAGGGACAGGACAGACTGACAGCCTTTCCTTTCTGTATTGCATCACTGATGCAGTCATTTATATGGCCACTTGATCTGACTGGAACACCGCCAACAGCAACAAAAGCTTTCCTGTAGGTATCATCAAACTCATATATCATAAGAAGAGCAACTTAGCCTCTCTCTCAGATTTAGGTATTTACTTTAGGTTGATTCTACAAAACTAGACCCATGAGGATATGTGTGTGTGTGTGTGTGTGTGTGTGTATGTGGTGTTGTGTGTATGTTGAAGGAAGTTCATTTAGTAAAGAAGTAAATATCCCAATGCAAAGAGCTTCCGTGCGAGTAAAAATGAAAAATATTCAAGTTAATGTCTTTGTATTCTCTACTTTATCAAAAGACATAGAAACTGAAATTTTATAAAGGTTTTTTTTTTTTTCCTTCTGTGAAAATGGTTAAAATAAAAATAAAAGTGGCTCTTAAAGAAATAAGCTTTAGGTATTTGAAAAATTCACTTGTGTGGAACATTGTGATGATACAGGAAAGTGAAGTGCATGTGTGAGTAATGAAGATTTCACGTACGAACGCGATGTGCAGAGAAACCGATCCTGTAGCCTCCCTTGAGGAAGCTTCCTGTGGGGAACAGTGACGTCCCAAATCAGACAGCTTTCAGTTATTGTGATTTACGTCTCCCAGTCTACATCCAGTCTTCAGATACTTTAAAAACTTTGGATCAATTAGGCATTTTTCCCTTCCTATTTTTTCCATTGTAATTTTGGACTCAAGCTGTCAAGCTTCCCAGGCACATGTTGCCATAGGAGACTCTGTTTGTTTAGGGTGGAGTAGTTGTTTTTTGGCAGGTTAGGGGAGGAACAATTAATTCTAATAGGTATACAGTAAATTAAATACTTGGGTCTTTCCAACCTTTTCTTTGTATTTATGCTCCTTTTTTTATAAATTCCCTTCTCGTCCCAGATGACCTTTAAGAATATAAAAGAAGCAGTTTTTATAAATCATGTCCAGGCTATAGCCATTGTTGTCCAGTGGGATCTGCAGAACCTAGACCTAGACCATTTCTGCTCTTTTCAACACATCTTCCCTAATGCTCTTGAGATGAGAGAGGCCATCCTTGGGGAAGAGATTGGAAAGAAAGACTCCAAAGGATCCTTATTAATCTATTCAAATGTCTAAGTTGTTCTTATGAAAAGGAAGATCTTTTTCAGATCTCCCTTTAATCCTCCATATTGAAGCCCATGCCTTTATAATGTGGGAAAAGTATTTTGGGTGCTCTTTGGATTTTTATAGACAATTACATGAAAGAGAAAGAAGGAACAGATTAAGTTTTGCCAGTGAGTCAGTCAAGGTTGGAGGAGAAGTAACAGATGCAGTGTTAGATGAGGAAAATATACTCCAAACACATGAAAAAGAAAAAAAAAATCTGGGGGAATCTCAGTGGGATAAACTTGGCCCTCCCAGGAGAACCCGGGGCATCTATAGGTGTTAAGGGTGTGGCTAGTTGCATTTTGACTCCTCTTATTTGGCTGTAATTGTAGATTCAAGTGCTCATTGTATAGTTATTCCAAGTTCTCCAGAGCCAGAGCAATGGGCTCCAGCATTGAAGACAAATGCTCATCTCAGAATCTTTGTCTTTTATCCCAGGGAGGCCTGTGTTGAGAACAGAATTCATTTTCACTTCCCACTCTCAGCTGACATTGCTGTGCAGCTGTCCGACAGCTGTTGAGGTCCCCCCTAAAAGTAGCAGCTTCTCAGAGGCTGGCAAACTGGTATACATCTGGAATGGTGTTCCAGTGACCTCTGGACCCCATAGAATAAGTCAAAACATTGAAGTAATCACTTGGATGAACTTGTTCTGATGTAACGCAATTGCTGAAAATTATTTAATGGCTTTTTTTTTTTAAGTTTAGTGATCTATCTCATCAAAACACAGTGAAATAGGGAACAGTCATTCTATTTGACCTTTAAGGAGGGTGAGGGAAGAGAAAGTGATTTGAACGTGGGAACTGAAAGGTGGCCTCAGGATTCAAGAGTCTACTGACCGTCTGTGGCCCCAAGAGTTTGATCAGGAGATGTTTCCTGAGCTTCACAATTACGTATCCACTCAGGATGCGGAGCAGCTGATGTGAATGAGTAGGTGGGCTGGGTTGGCTGGTGTGCCTTCCAGGATGCTGCGGGACACTGTTTCCTTCCAGGAGTGGTTCTAGAGAAACGATGCATTGGGCTGCTGAGCAATTTTGTAACCGCTGGTTGCTGTTCTTATCATACATTCCCTTTGGGGGTGAAACACTCCATTAACTCTGGTTTGGCCTGGGCCCCTTTCCCATTTTGGTTTCTGTTAACTTGTAGCAGTAACAGGAGTAGATGGAAACCGTTTGGCTTACTCTGCTCTAACCCTGTGTCTAGCTGCTGTGCATGAAGTAGCTGCACAAGTGGGATGACTTGTGTTCCAGCACTGGTATACCAAACCCTAGGGCCATTGCACTCTGGACAGACATCATTCGAGTCAATATAGCAACCCAGAATTGGGTCTCTACGTACGAATACCAGAAGAAGAGGTGGAAGTTATGGTCCTTAATCTGTGTTGTTGTTCAGTCACTCAGTTGTGTCCAACTCTTTGTGACCCTATGGACTGGAGCACGCCAGACTTCCCTGTCCATCACTATCTATGAGTTTGCTCAAACTCATGTGCATTGAGTCAGTGATGCCATCCAACCATCTCATCCTCTGTCATCCCCTTCTCCTCCTGCATTCAGTCTTTCCCAGCATCAGGGTCTTTTCCAATGAGTCAGCTCTTTGCATCAGGTTGTCAAAGTATTGGAGCTTCAGCATCAGTCCTTCCAATGACTATTCAGGGTTGATTTCCTTTAGGATTGACTGGCTTGATCTCCTTGCTGTCCAAGGGACTCAAGAGTCTTCTCCAGCACCACAGTTTGAAAGCATCAGTTCTTCAGTGCTCAGCCTTCTTTATGGTTCAAAAAGCAGCAAAAAGTCAAGATACATGACTTTTAATCCCAAATTCTACTTGACCCTAGCTATGTGACCTGGGGTGATTTTTGTCATCTCTATCTCCATTTCCTCACTGATGAAATGGGACTTTTAAAGCCAAATTTTCCTGATGCACAGCTTTTCTTGATGACCAACAGAGTTAACACATGTGAAAATATTTTTTTTTAATTTTCTTGTATGTGAAACTATTCTGTAACCCATATGATATAAAGACCTACTATTACAAGAAGGTGAAAAAGTTGATAAAAAAAATTCAGTGAACCATTCTGGACCCTAGAATAGGCCAGGAATGGATACTAGGTGTGAAATTTGTCAATTCCTTAGATCCAAGGGTCTTATCTTGAGACTTTTCAACTTCTTGAGTATGTTGGGTCCATTTTGACCCTGCCCTTTGAATGTTATCCCATAATAATGTATCTTGATTTCTGTGGATTATTTTGAGGTGGGGTGAGTGGGAGAAAAGGGTGAAGCAGAGTGAAGTTGTACTTAAGACACTGACCTGCCACCTGTTTACCAGCCTTTCCAAGCAGATGGTTGGTGTGACACCATCAACAACCGGGCCTACTGCCACTACGATGGGGGAGACTGCTGCTCTTCTACACTCTCCTCCAAGAAGGTAAGTGAGGGCACCTGGGTGTGGGAGGAGAGGGTAGTAGCCCCAGAAACAGGCAGGGACTTCAGCTAGCTCTGCTTCTGCTTCGTGGTGCATCATGGTTTTTCTTCAACAGTCCAGAAGACAGAATGATAATGAGCAAACATGGGAGCCTCTACAGTGACAGGATGAAGGACTGTAATTTTAGGATAAGTTGTTAGAAAACACTACTTCTCTCACTGTCAGTCCTGCAACTGATTCAGAAAAGCCGTGCTTCTGCTCCTCAGAGATTCACACCTGCTTATTATTGTCCAGGAAATGTCTCTATGAGCAGAGAATAATGGCTTCCACTCCTTGGGGAGGCAGGGTTACCCATGAAGTGGTATCTGTGCATCCTCAACCTCTCAGTCATATCTGATTCTTTGCAACCCCATGGATGGTAGCCTGCCAGGCTCTTCTGTCCATGGGAGTTTTCAGGCAAGGACACTGGAGTGGGCTACCATTTCCTACTTCAAAGCAGGGCTTCCTACCTAGTGCTTTAAATGTCTCCATTTATTATTAAATCTTCATAGCTAAATTAAAAATCCTATGAAGTATGTAGCAAGCATATTGCAGGTATTTGTTGAGCAACCATCACAAGCTCCCTGGAACATTCCCCAGACTGTATCCTAAGCAGTAGTTCTTTTCTCCATTTATGCTGTTGCTCTGGGCTTTATAAAATTAGAAGATATGCTCAAGCTAAACATATAAAGTAGAGTAGGCTGAAAACTTGGAATAATATGAATGAAAACCAAAGAACTCCAAAGATATTTGATGCTAGTTGGCTGATTTGATGAATCAGAAATATACAAGAAATAATGTTTTCTTCCTTGTATGCATCTCCATAATAAAGTCACACCTACATGATTACCTGTACACAGACCCGAATACTCCTTCCAAGGGATAATATTTACTGATGACTCACTCTGTGCTAGGCATTGTTCTCAATGCTGACATGAATTAACTTATTTAGTGCAGAAAAAAATCAAGAACTCATTGTGTCATTGTTGAGTTTGCTCTAAAATCCATTAAATCCCAAACTATGAGAAAGAGATCCAGGTTGGATTGCAGGTAAGAAATCATACCAACTAGTTCTTAGTCTCACTTGAAGAAAGTAACTGGTCATGGGTCCCTTTTCTACCCAGGAAGGCATAACCACTTGAGAAGAAAGCAATCTCCTTGTCTCCATCTCACATTCTTAGTTCTAGGGTTTGCCTTGAATGGATTTCAGTGACTGTGGCCAGTATACACATGAGAGATAGAAAAATCATTTCACCCTTGTTGACTCTTAAATTTGTTAATTCATATGTGAAAATATGCTGGGAAATTTCCTCAAACCCCACCACCCATTCTCTGCCTAGTCACCGACAGTGTCTCTTCAGTGCACTTGGACTATTAAATGATACCCTGATCTATTTTTGTTTCATCCATGCCCAAAGAGCAGAATCTTTGTCACTTTTATATCATGTCTCCTAAACACCCACTTCTCTCTGAAGCTAATTATGGACACTCAAAATGTATGGTTATCTGTTTGTAGCAGTGCAAACAGGAAGAGAGAAAATGTTGCTGGGCCATCTCTAACCTGGAGGAGGGATAATCACATGGCAGGAAGGCAATCTAGCCACAAACAATCAGTAGAGAGATGCATTGTTTCACCAAACCTAAGTATATTCTGGGTTCAAGAAGGGCAAAACCTCAAGCTTATGAAAATAGCAGCGATGACCCTATGGCCCCAAGAACACCAAGGGAGTAGGAAACATAGAGCTAGGTTATAGAGTCTTGGTTTTCTAGGTAGTAGTGTCATGACCTTGAGTTAAGGCACCCTACCTCTCTTGACCTTCCCTCTAAGAAAAAAAACACTAGCATTCATCTTACCTACTTTACAGGGATTTTGTGAAAGTGTTAGTGGTAACATTAGAAGTTACTAAGTAACAGGTGTTAGAGGTACGTAGAAATATGTTTTTCATATCCAACATCTTATTGAAACCATCCAAACACCCTCTGAGGTAGATGCTGTTGTCCTCTCACTTTATATGTAAAGAAAGTGAAACAAGGTTTACCTTGCCTAAGGAGACATGGTGTGTAAGTGAAAGAACTGAGTGTTAATTTCAGTTCTGTAACACTGACCTGCTATCCAGCACTTCCTCTGGGACCAAGCGAGAAAAGCAAAGGCTGGTTGAAAGTGTGAAGCTTGGTGCAAAAATGGGTGATTTCAACTTCTCTTTGCTTTCCCTTAGGTCATTCCATTTGCTGCTGACTGTGATCTGGATGAATGCACCTGCCGAGACCCCAAGGCTGAAGAAAACCAGTAACTGTAGGATCAAGCCCCTCCTTCCACTGCCCTGGAGGCAGTAAGAAAGAGGGGCCTCCACAAAAGGAAAGAAAAGATGAGTGAACAAGAAAGGGCATAAAGTGAAGGAAGAAGAACATGAAGGATCTTAAAGCAAGAGGACATTTATAGGTGCCAACTATTGTATTAAGTATCCCAAGTAAGGAAGAATCATAGGCAAAAGTTTCTTCAAAAAGGCAGTTGATTTAAAATGGAAAGAGAAATATGATAGATATACAAGAGCCCTCCTCCCCCATTTATATTCTATCCAATCCCACCCTCAGCTCTTGCCCTGCTCCCTACTCTGCACCCTGCCAACTATTCAGCCCCACCCAACTTGTAAAACAATACCAAAACACTATAAGAGCAGTTGCCAGGGACACTCTGTTAATACCCATTTTGAATGGATTGCCATCTTTCAGGGCTCATCTAATCAAAACTGGCTCTCTCCCTTTCTTTGTGTAGTCTCCCTTAGTAATAATGAGGTTAGTTATTAATTCTTTATAAGTATTTAAACATAATGATATAAATATATTATATATATTATATTTTTTGCTGTCTACTAAGCTAAAAATTATCCATTGTTCCACACATGCTGCTGTGAAGTTCACATCCAAAATGAATGCTGAGGGTTTGAGGACTGAGTTCTTCTACCATCTTTCTATTCATAGGGATTAGCAGGTTGAGAGAGAACTGGGGAAGCAAAGAGAGAGACTGGATGGAGTTTTTGATGATCACATGTCAGCTAATCATCTTTTTATGATCTGAGAGCTGGGCCCAGTTTGAGGAGATGGGGGCTTGGAATGATAATGCTAAGGGGCATGGAAATGTGGGTGGGGGTATCCATTGGTGAGGGGTCCAGGAAAACTAGACTACGATTCTTGAGTATCCATCCAAAAAGTACTTCTCTTCACTTCTCAGAACTCGTCATTGCAGTTGGTGAGGCCCAGGGTTTTTGCACTTCCACAGGTGCCTGTTCCAAGGGTGGATCTTGGCCAGTCAACAAGTCTGTATGCAGGCTCACTTTCCTGTCACCAGGATTACAGGAACCCATGCTTTCCACATACTTGGTCTGTGGTCTCCCTTCTTCTAAGTCCCTGAGCCTAGCCATCATTCACAGCCATGTGGCCACATGACTTACTGGGGGAGAAAATGTCAAGGAAATGACATGAGGGAAAGGTGAGAGTAGATGGAAGAATAGGCAGGGATGAAGGAGCTGACAGAGGCCATTCACAGGGTAGACACTGGGGTCAATTAGAGCCCAGGACTGGAGGACAAAATCAGTCAAGGAGACTCAATTTTGTTTCAGGTCTCCACAGCACACCACAGGGGATCCTCCGAACAATGCAGAATGGGAGATAAAATCTATTCAAGTGCTTTGTGTCAAATCTGTGTCCCAGAGAGCTCCCATTGAGTGAGTTCTGAAAATACATGGAGCAAGGGTGACACTCTGTGGGGAGAGAGAAGAATTTCAACTATTTAGAGTCAGTTTTGTCAATGTGATCCTTTCTTGCTCAATAGATGGACAGTGTGTGAAGTGACCATGTTAACCTGCCTCCGTCTACAGCCTGGGCTGACTCTTTCTGCATGTGGTCTATTGCAGCTGTTTTTTGGGGAGTAATGATGGATAGAGTAGGCCTTGGAGAAAGAGAGTAAGGAGCTAGTTTCTTTTTCAACACCCCAGCTTATCATCTCAGGAAAGGAAGAACAGGCAAATATTCAAACGCAGCCTTGGTCTCTCTGGATCACCTGCTCTTTGCCTCCAACCACAGTTTTCTACTCTTCCCATCAACACTGAAGCCTTGGCTGTGCACATAGAAACAAGGAATTATTATCTTCCCCCTCCATCTTGAGCCAGACTTCATGTAGGAAAAGAACAACATTCTGGAATGGAATAAAAAGAAGGGGATATACACAGATTTATCTATGAGGATCCAAAAGGAGGGTGGCAGAATCATGGGGGAAGGTAACGAGCCAGAGGCTGCCCGTCCGAAATCCTCTTGTCCTCTGTATTCCCAGCCATAACAGAAACAATAGTCTAGATACCTACTCTTCCTTATCTGGCTTCACATTTAATGCTCTCAAGAAGAGAATATTTATTTCTGGGATTCTGATAGGCATCCGTATGGAAAAGGAGAGTAGACAAGTTTCAATTCTTCATTTTAAAACAGTTTTAAAATCTATCCAAATTTCCTGAAACATGTCAAACTCCATACAGGGGAATCCTGCCATGTCTGAGGCTGAGGTAGCAGGGGAGTTATCCTGGGCATTGCCCAGCTCAAGAAGGTTACAGCCCCCATTGCTACCCACCCCCACCATGGGAATGTGGAACCTGTGGTTCATGATGGTGTGGGTCTGGCCTCAGTCTCCCCACAGGAGTAACCATGAGAACATTTCTCTTTTGTACTTCATTTTAAAACAAATTTAGTCTCTGTTGGCAGCACCTGCTCTCCATCACTGCCCTAGGAAGGTGAGAGGAGGGATCTGGGGGGTGTGGAAAGCCTTTTAGACTACAGCCTGAGTCAGCCCTGGCCATTCAGAAACAGCAGGTTCTTCCAGCCTTTTCCCCTGGAGTCTAGTGTTTTGAGCTCCTCCAGTCACAATAAAGTTGAAGGTCTGAGATGCCACAGTCACAGATCCCCAGTGGATGTCAGCTCACACTCAGTCCACATGGTGGTCTGCATTCTGCTGCTTCTCCCCATTCATGGGATCACAGAGAGCCTCTCCCAGAGGCGCTTCCCTCCATTTCCCTGTTCCAAAATCACTTCTCAGCTTCCTCTTTTTCCTAGTGACTAGGAGCTCTGGGGTCCAGGTTGCCCAGGGCTGGATGATTCTGGCAATTAGTATGACAGCCTCCAACCAGAAAGATGAGAGGACAGAGTGAGAACTGTCAGCTGGCAAACCTGTATATGAAAGTAAAGAGCTATTCTTGATTCTCTCCTCTTCTTCCCTCCATTACAAGGCATTGGGTTTGGCACGTCCTCTCCTCTGCGAGATCACTATTGAGTGCATTGATTAGCACTCCAAAGGGATGGTTTGATTGGGAACACAGTGAAAGGAGCTGATCTACTGTATTGTAATGTAAAACAGCTACAGCCAGATATTTTGTAAGATTATAAGATGTTCATTAAAAAAAAAATCAGCACACTAAATAGGATGTGTCTTATTCTTTGTTTAAATCATTTCATCACTTCCAAATTGTTTTTCATTTACTCATACCAGGCCCGGACATCCATCATTGATCAGTTGATTGATGAGTTCTTTCAGTCACTTAAAAACTATTTATTAAGTAAATGGTATGCGTAAGGAAGATAAACACAAATGTTTACAAGAAGAGATGACATATACAAAAGCAGAGTACACAGTAGTCATGTTAAGTGCCTCATGAGTTATAGGAATAAAATGCAAGAATCATTTACAGTTCAGGGGAAGTAGCGTCACTCCTGGATGCCAAAGGGAAGAAGTATTTGAAAGATGGTCCATGAGGGATACACATGAGCTTGACAGGCAGAAATGGGATGGGGACATGAAGAGTTCAGGCAAAGTGAAGAAGAGGGATAACACTATAGAGGTAGGAAAAGAAAAGGCTGGGAGACAGTGAATATCTCCGGGACATCTAACTTAGCTAGAAGGCAGAATTCAGCTCACATGTGCCCCACATGTGGCAAGCCCAAGCTTATTTAATCCTCACAGACAGATCTACAACTTCCATTGTTTCATTTCACAGATGTGGACATCAAGGGTCGGAGTAAAGAGAATTGTTTATGGTCATATGCCAAGAGTCAAGCTTGGTTCTGTGAGACCCCAAGACATAAAAAAGAAAAGGAAAATTGATGGTTCATAGGATGGGAAAGGGTAGAAGTGGAGAGAAATGTCAAAGACGATGTCTCTGCATTCTCTTTTTACCCATAAGGATTATCCTCACTGGCAGAAAAGGGAAGCTAGGAGGAGGAAGCTTTTGAAGAAAGAGAATATATTTGCTTTTTGATAAAATCAGTTTAAAAGCCAGATAGATAATTAGTTGGAATTTTCACATAAAGCAGTGTTTAGCAAGCTGGGGGAGGTTTCTGCACCTGGGGACAGCTTGCCAAGGTCTCTGGCCCTGCTGCATACCACCTGGCTGCCAGAAGGGCTGGGCAATTATCTCAGTATATCTATGAGCTGTTTGGGAAGTCCTGCGGAAGAGATAGTTAGATATGTGAGCTTGGAACTTGAGAGAGGGGTGTCCAACTAGAAACAGACATTTGAGAGTGAAAATTATGTCAACTGACATTTTCTTCATGGGTTGCAAAATACCTTCATATGCTTTATTCTACCCATGGCTTAAGCAGAAAAACTTCTTCTAAATTTCCATTTTACAAATAAAGAAACTGTGTATTAGAGAGGCCATTGAAGAATTTAAGTTCATATAACTAAGTGCAAGTTGGGATAGGAATCCAGGTTTTCTGTCCCCAAATGTGATGTACTTTCCACAACATGAAGTTCAGCCCACTAGACCCAGAGTGAACCCAGACTTGACCAAATGGAATGGGAAAGTTAAATGTCTTTTTGCTTGTTTATGTTTCAAGGCACTCGTTGGTTTCCCAGTGGCTTTCTTGGTAGCTGGTGGTAGGAAAACTGAGATCAAACCTTCTAGAGCATCATTCCAGGGCCCTCTGCTCATGCCAGGCCCTGAGTATAAGCAGATGCCTTGCACGTGCCAGTTAGGCCAGCTGAACTGAGACGTCTGGCAGTGCTGCCTTCTCCCTAATAGCTTCCCTTGGGAGAGTCCTGGAGAAAGACTGGTTTCCATTGACTGACAAACTTAAATGACATGATGAGTCACCCATCAGCTGGGAGACTCACTACTCTTCGATTCCTGCCAACCAGATAATGAGGGGATCAGGATGGGAAAGAGGGCAATGTGGGTTTTTTAAAAAACTTTTTATTTTGTATCGGAGTGTGGCCGATTAACAATGTTGTGATAGTTTCAGGTGCACAATAGAGACTTAGTCATACATACACTTGTATACATTCTCCCCCAAACTTCCTGCCCATCCAGGTTGACACATAACATTGAGCTGAGTTCCCTGTGCTATATACAGTAGATCCTTGTTGGTTTTCCATTTTAAATATAGCAGTTTGATATGGTTTTTCACTTACAAATAACTCCAGGTCACCTCTAAAGCTGTCTTTGGGTCATCTCTTTTCATGTCATCCCAAGAAGACCACTGGTTCTTTACCACTAACCTTTCAGTTTGCCCAGTGGTTGGCTCAGAAAAAAGGGTCATGATGAAAACCTTATATCTATAATATATATCCACACCCACAAAACCTACACATGCCCTGGGTGTGTGGGTTGAGAACAAAGTAAGACTCATTAGAGAATAATGATTATTTTCAAGTGTGTGAGTGATTTGTTGATGACTTCAATTTTTATTTGTTTTTCCCTTGATTCCGCCACTAGGTCCTCAGGTTACATTACCAAGTGTTAGGAAGAACTGCTGGGACAATGGCAAAGTCCATTCTTAAAAGGATCTACAGGTCAAATCTAGTTAACATTCCAAATCAGTATAATAAAAAACATCCCCAAGCCCTGAAAGGTAGTCCAGACCAATTACAGTTTGCTAATGTTCTTTAAATCAAATTTTCTTCTCAGGATAACTTAATACAGACAAGCTTCCTTCGCTTTTTTCCACCTAAAAGTCACTTATTCAAATGCAGAAAATAAATAAATAACAGTGTTGGCTTTTAATGACTACCTATCATGGACAGAATAGCCTGATGGGTCACAGTCCACAGGGTTGCAAAAGCTGGACACCACTGAGCAGGCACACACACATACACATCACGTTATATCAATTTGCTTTTCCTCTCCCTGTGAGAACTGCTTTCAGAAGACAGCTGCTTTGTAAAAAAAAAAAAAAAGTACACATAGAAGTCACAATATTTTAATCTCTCAAAAGGTTATCAAAGTTCAATAAAGTTCCCATACCACAAACTCAACATGTGCCATTCAGAGTGCTTTCTGAATAGTAGAGCCAAGTTGTATTAGGACACAATTTCCAAGGAATGATTTTGTTGGGAGCAAATCAGTAACCTTTAGAATAATCTGGAAGAGAGTTCTTGCAGCTTCTTCAAATGTCCTGGGAAATACTCATGAACTCAACACTGCTCTTGGTGTCTCCGCTCTGCCAGGTCACCTGCTACAGGGACCCTGAGAAATCAGTGACTGAGGAGCAGAAAAACACTTAAAAAAACAAGACAGGAGAAGTATTCAGAGAAGTACAAAGACACCTGGGGTGGCACAGCTAATAAGTGGCAGAGCCCGGATTTGGACCCTGGTTCCAGGGTCTATGCGTTGACCCTCTGTGCTCTAACAGAACACTCCCTTTATGGGAGTACTTGGATCTGTAGATTTGCAGGCTTGAAAGGGTCTCCAAAAGGCTGAATTATTCACATAATGTTTCCTACCATGGGTTGTGCTGCCTAACTGTGAATCAGTCTACTATTAAGAACTCACTCTCTCTCTCAGGGCTGCACATTTTGTATCTGGACTGTTCTGCCTTTGAAAGTGAAAGTCGTTCAGTCAACATGTCCGACTCTTTAGGAACCCATGGACTGTACAGTCCATGGATTTCTCCAGGCCAGAATACTGGAGTGGGTAATCTTTCCCTTCTCCAGGGTATCTTCCCCACCTAGGGATTGAACCCAGGTCTCTGGCATTGCAGGTGGATTCTTCACCAGCTAGTGGATGATATCAATATTTACTGAGCAACTATTCTGTGCCAAGTGCAAGGGATGCAGCAGTGAACAAACAAAGCTCCTTATTTGGAAAGAAGTTGGTGGAGACAGACAATACACCGTGTGTGTGTGTGTGCGTGTGTGTGTGTCCAGTAATGAGTGTTACAAAGAAAGCTAAGATGCAGTGAAGTAAGGAGTAGTTGGGGGTAGGGAGGTGCTCGTGTCTATAGGGAAGGTCCATGAATGCTTCTCCACAGCAGGAAGTGAGAGTGCGGTCCATGGATACCTAGGGGAGAGTCAGAACAGGCAACACCAGGGGTGAGGTGGGAGAGAACTTAGTGTATCTGCAGAAGAACAGAACAAGGGAGGAAGGTGAGGGCAGAGAGGGATGGGAGATCGGAAGTGGTCACAGAGGGTCCCCTTAGCCACGCAGTGACTCTGGCTTTTACTCGGAGGGAAACTGTTTTCCTCACCAATTTCTCTGTGTCTGCACATAATCCATCATATCTCTTTCCTAACTCTCACATCCATCCAACTCCTTTCTGCTGCCATCCTCTCATCCCATCTCAGGCTGCCATCAACTTCCCAACAGCCATGGTTACATTACCAAGCCAAGTCCCTTCTCCTGCTTCTTCCCCTGCAGTCCACCGGCACTCGGCTTCAACATCGTTCTCCCTAAAGCACAGTTCTCATCCCATTACCCGGGACTCAGGGAAATGAGTTCTGTTCTGAAGGGTCAGACCAGCCTCAGCAGAGCCAACCTGTGACACTGGCTTCCCGCTGCTTCTGAACTAGTGGTCCTCTACTCACGTCTACCCCCATGCCATCAAAGAGGATGTGCCCCTAGCCCCCGAAGATCCTGCTTCTGCTGGTGCTAATCCCTAACCTGGATGCCTCTCTCCATCTCCACATGCCCCAAACCTGCTTCTTTCCCCAGTTCCATCTCAGGTTCTCCAGTATCATGAAGTTGTTCCTCCTCCCCCATCTGATGAGATACACTGTGTGTATGGCATCTTATTGTCCCCTCCCAGGATAATCAATCTGATTGACTGATGTTTTGATAGTTCTGTTCTGATCTTTCCCTCCTATTCAATGTAAACTCTTCAAAGTCACATGAACTCAGAGCTCTACTAGCTATTCAATACCATTTCTGACAAGTAAAAAATAAAAGTACTCCTTCATCTGAAGGAAAGAAAACCAGTGTCAGAAACCATGACTTGAAAAGTGTAGCCCAGACTGGATTTCTGGCCATATTCACTCCTTGGACCAGGCAGGCTAGGGCAAGACACAACTTCACATCTCTACATGGTAACGCTCGAAACATTATCTTATTCAGTTTTGCATCTCTGACATTGCCTTACACAGTGCCCTTCATGAATAGAACCTTGGAATTTGCTGAACTGAATCCCAATCCTG